TCCGCAATAACATTCTTTCTTAAGGCCTCCATCCAAATCGTAATAGAGGCAGCCTGGTGACCTGAAGAACACATCTTCTAACCTCGACATTCTTTAATCGCATTTCCTGAGGCAAGCTATCGGCACTCTAAAACTGATCAAAGTTCGGATTACTGCAGCTCGTCTCTTTTTTTGTCAAGGACTGACAGATAGGATGACAATATTCAGCTTCTGCCGAGTCGACGCATACTCTGTGGTGGTTTTGAGAAAGGCCTTAGGGTGTGAATAGGTAGACTACTCATGTGGCAATAATTTCGAGTCTGGAAATGCAGTGAGCTGCTCGTATCCGGTAAGCTACCCTGACTGTTTGCCGATATCTAACCTTTGCTACCACATTTGGATATTTCGCAGCAGAAAGCCAATTTCAGAAATATCTCGCGGAGACGATCAGCCTCGAACAATCAACCTCCTTGGAAACATACGCGAAGCCATTCGACTGGGTCCAGTGATCTGCATCTGTCGTTTCTCTTGTGCTTGCCCATTTATCTCGAAAATCCCCGCATTTCTTGGAAATGGACTGTTTCAATGGCATCAATATTTACTTGTCAAGGCGGCTCAACTCGTACAGAACCACGCTATAAAGTGCTGATTTGCCGAAGGACGCTCAGATTAAAACTAATTCATCTATGTTATGTCACAAAAACGGTGCTACATAGAAAAGTAAGATCTCAACGGAATCGTCGGAAACGGAAGTTTCCTTTGGATCTGTACTAATGCCATGAGAGAGCATTCAGAAACGTGGAATCGGGCGACGAAAAAGATCCAAAAATCTAACGTAATAGTTCACCTTTCGCAAAAGCAGACCATGGTTGATGCTTTCAGCCACCATAAATCCGGTTATCAAATGATTCGTCGAGCCGGCTTCACCACAATGCGGGCGCAGAGACAACACGTTCAAGCCCCGAAGTCTACAAAAGAAGAATCCATGGGCACACAACTACGATAGGTGGTCAGGAGACCTGCACTGACCTGCGAAAACAATTTAGCACGGCTAGATTGGTGTACATGTAAAACAGATAGTAGGCATAATGTGGGTTGGCCGCTTCTGTCCACTGATCGGCCGTGACGGACTTGCGATCGAATGAAACGTCCTCGACTTTTGACTCATCGTCGACGCTGTCCATTCCAACCACCTAAAAGAGGCAAGGCTGTGAACAGGGTACCTGAAAACGCAATACTGTACGTACATAGTGGAGGAACTGGTGGAGGTAAGGATGTGATGCCGGATCGTTGGTCACTTCAAACAGTGGCAGGAAGATGTTATCGATCAGCTGTTGAAAACTGCTGACCAAATTCTTGTACTTGTAGATGTCACTAAACAGCAGGCGGTCAACGACTGAGAGCATGACCACAACAACGACCTACTAAAGTCTGGGCACTTGAATGATCCAACGCACACTGTTTGAATGTACATTGTTTTTCACCGCCCATTCAGCCAGTTTATCCCACTCATCCCGTGCACGTCCGTAAATCGACAGCCGATACTCAGCAAACTGATACTTGCTTTCATGCAAATCTGACATTACTTCCTGAAACTGAAAAAGTTTAACAGGACGTACACAACGTCAGTAAGTCGAGTGGAAATAATGAAACTCATAAATTGGCATGCCTGAATCTTCGAAGCACAAATCTAATCAGCAAACGTTAGACTCTCAACGTATAAAGCAGCCAGTAAAGACAAAAATGCATGTGAAATATTATAAAAGCATGCAATAAGCAGATAATCATAAAGGATCAGCTTTGAAGACTACGGAAGCAGCTTTAAGAGCGTCTCACAAAATCTACACAGAAGAAGAGAAATTAAACAT